ACTGGAGCAACCCTGAAGTGCAACTTCTTTGCCCAGTACATGGGTCGACCCTGAAGTATGACTTCTCGACCCGGGACGTAGACAGACGTCCGGAATATTAATTGGTGTGTGTAAATGGGTGCCTTCTCACCACCTGATGGATGGGACGGTGGCAGGGTGGTGTGGGACCCTGCCATCCATGGGGTGATTGTGTGATTTCGGTTCGATTACCGGTGTTGGTTGTGCATCCAACGCGTCGGAATCTATATATTTTTGTTTTCTTTTCTCCCGCCGGGCGGTATACAATCTTCTCTACTCCCTGGGGCCGGGTGGCTGTCGTGTCCGACATGCTGAGGCGCGTTTTATGGTGCTGTGCCTCAGGAGGTTGGGTTCTCCCTCTCATCACAGATTTCCGGTGCCTGCCACGCTTGGAGTCACCGGTCGTGCTGACCGGATGTGGACTTGAAGGTGGAGTGGAGCGCCTGTTCGTCACTCCTGCTCTACCTGTTGTTCTCCGAAGTTGGACTTGAGCCATGCAGATGGACCGGCCACACGGACACGCTCTAAGACACCGCGGTTTTCTGATTGATGCGTGTCTGCCCGTTCTTGCGTGTCGGTTACCATTGTTGTTACATTAATGTCTATCTATCTGGGTTGCCGGGGCTCCACTTTTGTAAGGGTTGCAGCCGGGTCGGCTGATTTTTTTTCACGGGGAGGTGTGATGTATAGTAGTTAGTGATGTCATGTCACGCTCGCCTCCGGTACGATGATGTCACGTATGGTGACGTCATGCACAGGGGGCAGGACGGTGACATCATGTCCCCATGGTTACGGATATATTCAATTGTAATGTATTACTTGGTCTAAAATAAACACACAAATGTACTCAATACAGCTTAATTAGGTAAACCACATGCAACATTATTTTTCAGTCATTCCGAGCTCTCGGTTTGACTCTCGAGCCACTCCATTACATCCAACCATCTCTCGGGATCCAACTGCATGGGATCGAAGGTGGAATCTTCTTCAGGTTTCATTGCAGCACCTTGAAGTTCAACGTTTGATTTCAGTTTCCTATCATCGTGGATCTTCTGATGCCTGTTCAGTTTTGATGACTGTGCAAATGCCTTTCCACACACAGAGCATGGGAATGGCTTCTCGCCCGTGTGTGTTTTCTTATGGTCTTGAATAATTAATGACCATGCAAAAGCCTTCCCACACACAGAACATGGGAATGTCTTCTCGCCCGTGTGTGTTTTCTGATGGTCTTGAAAAATTGATGACCGTGCAAATGCCTTCCCACACACAGAAAACGGAAATGGCTTCTCGCCCGTGTGTGTTTTCTGATGAGCTTGAAGAGTTGAAGAATGTGCAAATGCCTTCCCACACACAGTACACAGGAATGGCTTCTTGCCCCTGAATGCGTGGGGCTGTGGAGAGTGTTTCTGCGCCATGTGAGCGTCGTAACAGTAGCTGTGTAATGGAGTCAAAAATATGCTATCGGCCGCAAGTATGTTTAGCGTTGAGTTTTGATTTTGTTAACTGCTAATACAAGAATGACACTCGCGTCGAATACAAGAAAATCACGCCAATTTGACGACGAACATGTTTAAAGATTATCCATGAAAATAGATTCACGGTGTATCGATGTCAGGAACCCGTCTGAAGATGTCCACACTAACTCTCCCGAAGCAAAGTCGCCTGTCTGTCGCCACGCAATTGTGCTCGCCAGGCTGCGTTGTCTCGTGGTAGAAGGGCGATCAGCAGAACGACGAGTCGAGCGTCCAGCCTAATCAAGTTTCCTCTCGAAATGGCATTGAGCTCTGCTTCTGAGCCGCCTTATAACTCCCCCCTAGAATCCAATCCTTTGTCTTTAAGGATATTAGCATTCGATTGTTAATTTTGAAGGTACAATCCGTATGTCTATTAACATACCGAAAGGTAATGTGCCCATTGTGCTTCATGCCTGAATATGTAAGAGCATCTCAGTGTGTAATTGCGCACTTATTTTGAATAAATGGGATTAGCGCTGGAAAAACACGTTCCCCATGTCCTCGATTTAAAGTGAATGCAGTCCCGTGGAGTTGCCCACACCCGCCGAGCTTCAGGAGTGAGCACGTACAGAAGCATTGTGACCACACTTGCAACGCAATCACTTTAACATCAGTAACCAAAATCCGATCTGGTACATGGCCTCCGCTTGGTCTGGTCTGTATCCATCATCACGCCGGAGACAAACAGCGAGTCATGGTTCGGCCAGCCACCACCTCATTTGCCGCAGCGACTTTAATAGCTGCTCTCAAACAACACTGTCACCAATAGTGGTTTATGGGTTAGGGTGTTAAGCGGACAATCAGTCGTTTTGGTCAAGGCGTATGGGATAATAGACACCTCTGTTATCCCATAAACACAATACACGGCAGCGGGAAGGCTGCCTTGTTGGGGAGATGTAGTTTGTTTAAGGAGCTGTGACTGGAGGTAGGCGATGTGACTGGGTGATCACACGGATTCTGAAACATAGCAGAGACGATACGATCCACTGCGCTCCATCTCCCTACATGGACAACGACATTGTGGTGCCGCAGCAGCGGAGCCCTCCTGCCGACTCCATGGCCTCGACGCCGCCACCTCCGAGCGACGGGGCCGACGCTGCTCTTCCCTCACCACCCCCCACATGAACACACACACACACCCCCACATAGAGCCCCGAGGGAAGGTCACCTGGCCGACAGGTTTTCCCCCAGAAGCCCTCACATGGGACCAAACTTTACGGTTTCCTGCGACCAGGGAATTGGGCGACCTCCCCCGAGGCTAACGTGCACCGCGGCGCCGTGATTTGGGTTGTAATCATGTGGCCACGACGGGGCTGCTGAGCCAACGCGGATAGAAAACACCCACAACACACACGGGTCAGCAGGCAGGTAGGGGGGGGTACGGAGTCACGAACGGCGGGAAAAACAGGGCCGGTCCTCTGATTGGTGGGACAGATGCGCTTGTTTAGAGGGTGAAAAGCGGACGTCTGAGAGGGCACCGGTCCGGGGAGAGTGGCGGGAAATCCGAGCCACCTGATTGGACGGGAGGCCAGCAGATCAGCGCTCATTTATCTTTGATGTAGAGTACAATAAAAAGGGTAGAGAAGGTAGGGAGAGTTAGTTCGTGTTCTACTCAAGCCAGCACTTGGGGCGGTCGACTTCCCATCCACTCGAACGTCCGTGTGACGAGTCGAAGTGCAGCGAGGATCCGACCCAGCAGCTCCGTACGAGTCGAACCGTGAGTTCCCGAGAGTAAGATATCGAGGCCATTGGGAGATTGTCTTAGGAGAGTGATTTGAAAGAGGCGATACAGATCGGGTCTTAGACTATCGGGAGATAGGTTAGACCTGCACTACTGACTCAAACTGACTCCGGTAATTTAGCCTCGGACTCGCTGAGAATAAACTGCTGGGGATCAATAAACCTTGTCGTGTGGTTTCTGCGAGGGTGGAATGGATGCATGTTGGTGTGCGTCGTATGTTTGCGCGTGACGGTGTATTTACTCACGTGTTTGCGCTTGCCCATGCGTGTAGCTCGTGGTTAGCGTGTGCATGTGGTGAGCGGCGGCAGACTCGTACCGGGGCACGTGAGATTACTCATACGCCCTTTCGTTTAATGTGTGCGTGAGGCTAACGGGCCGCGTACACGCGAGATTATTCGTGCGACCTTTTGTTTAGCTTGTGGTGGGGTGAACGGGCGGCGTGCCTGTGAGTTTGTTCATACAGCCCTTTAAATAAATCTCCGAGACAACCCCCCAATCGGCGAGTGACGTCCCTGCCCTCTGACCCCTGACCCCGAGTCCCGCGCGCGCGATTGGGGCGTGGCACGGAAGAGGAGCGACGTCGGATTTCGAGTGAGTGGGTGTGAGTGTGCGCGGAGATTGTGTGAATTGATCCTAGGTGGCTAAGCGCCAGCCACGAATCATGCCCCGAGGGGCCGCAGCGAAGGGGGGGGGGGGAGTCGGTGAGCAGTAACCCTCCCCAGGACACGGAAGAGGGGAGCAGTGGATCCCACGTGAGCGAGGAGCCGGGGGTCAGCCTTCCCAGCAACTGGACCCTAGTTATTAAGCTGCGCGAGCGTACTGGCAGGCTATTATTTATTTATTTTATAGGTAATTTAATTTGTATTGCAGCAAATTACTACAACAGATGAGGCGAGGTACACTGCCGTCATTGTCTTTTTTTTAAATAAACATCCTCACTTTTGTTTTCTTTCAATGTAAAAACAAAGGACAAGTATGGCCACCCATCATCATCGCTCCGTTGTGTCATTGCTTCAGTGTTGTTTGAGGGTGTTTTGACCCCCTCTTCCAAGCTGGCCAAACACCTCGACGGAGGTGGAGGTGCCCACACTGTGCCGCACCACACGCGGCCTGCTGATGGACCAGCTCTGGGCGCACCCACGTGGTGGACACGTGGTGGACACGGGGTGGACACAGGGTGGACACAGGGCGAGACATGTGGGGTATTGAAAACAAAAACTAATACTTATTTGATGTCAGCAGGTAAGGGCCACCGAGCTACAGAGGTCCGCGCTCGCCGCGCCGCTCAATAAATAATCGAAACGAGAAAATATACAGTGACGAATCACGAGGAGAAAGAAAACAGCGTTGGCTTTTTTGCAATCGACATGCAGACTCCTCACTCTCCCATCATGCTGAGATCTCGGTGGCTACTTTGTCCCAGGCTTGGGAGCCGATTGCAGAGCTCACTCTTGCAGGAATCCGCCTAGCCCCGACCCCCCGCGTCGGTAATCACGCAGGGTGGCGGTGGGTGGGGTGGTGAGTGGGGTGGGGGGGGGGGGAGTTGAGGGCAACTGCCAGGTGCGGAACGACAGCCATCTCCATCAGGCAGTGACATCCGCTGACACTTTTGTCCGGACATGATTGTTGGCCAGGGGCGAGGCTCGTGGGGGGCAACGTCCGACAATCGACCTGGCGAGCGATCGAGCGGGCGGAAGAGTCGGGGCCAGCTTCCCAGCGAGCCGCCGTCACTTGCACGTGTACTCCTCTGCCCTCTCGCTGCACGTGCCGCAGAGCACATGGCAGCACCAGTGGAACTTGCAGTTGCAATTCCACGAGCGCGTGTACTCGCGCGTGTTGTACCCGCGGCCGCAGCAGCGCAGCTCGCAGCCGTCGGCGTTCGGCGACGTGCGGTTGCACAGGCGGCCGCGCGTGCCCACGCTGCCCGTCAGCAGGTTCTCCTCGCAGTAGTTGGGCGAGCGCTCGGTGAACACGAGCTCCGTGTCGAGAGGCTTACGGTGGGCGCGCGAGCGTTTCAACTTGAGGAAGAGGGGGTAGCGGTAGCGGCCGCCGTGCACCGGCTCCACGTGGACCGCCTCGTCGTACTTGTCCTTGAGCGCGGAGCCCACCTCGCGGAACTTGGGCAGCGTGGTCCAGCATGTCTTGGTGGTGCACGAACCCGACACGCCGTGGCACTTGCACACCGGCTTCATCTTCTCCTCCAGGACCTGGCGCCGAGTGGGGGAGAGAGAGACAGAGGGCGGGAGAGCATCGGCGAGGTAGGTGGGGACAAGTGGACAGAGAGAGACAGAGAGAGGTGAGCGGTGAAGGCATCGCTAACGGCGGCGTCGCTCGTACGAGTGAAGGAGAGGAGGTCAAATGTTTTTGTGTTTCTTACAAAACCGCTGTTGGCGTTGATCCTCTCCGATCCGCTTTGTGCCAGCTAAATGCTGCGGAAGAAATAGGCATTGTGCTGGAAAAATGACGAGAAGAGGTAGGAGAATGGGGGGGGAGAGGCGAGTAGAGTGGGGAGGGAAGGGGTGGGGTGGCGGGTGGAGAGGTCAAGCGAGGGAGTGTGGGTAAGAAGGTTCTGGACGCCTGGGGGGGGTGGGGGGTAGAAATGGAGACGGGTCATATTTTGCTTTTCACCCCCAAGACATTTCAGCACCTGCGTTGGATTGGATCTGGAGGAGTGCTCGGTTTGGGGAAATCGCCTGCAGAAAAAAAGAGCCCCACAGGCGTCATTATAATTCCCTGCATGCCACGCGATCGCCTTCATTCAGATATGGGCCTGCAGGTGTGATAAGGGGGAGAGGAGACTCCTATCGAGAGCGGTCAAGGAGCATCGGGGCAAACGAGCTGCAAGGCAGAAAAGTGTCGTTGTCTCAAGAGGAGGTGGGTGGGTGGCCACCTCCATCCCCGTGGCCGTGCAAGCAAGATGAAAGCACTGTGTGAGCTCCTGTTCGGCTTCGCTGACCTAGAGGACCTTGGAGGAAGGAGGTCCTCAATGGAAATGGAGTCACCAATGTCAGGTGCAAGGAACAGGTAAAGGTGCAGCACTGTAAACCTGCTTTGTCGCACCACTGCTGTCAGAAGGCCATCCAATCGAGGGAGCCCTCAAGAGCCCTCACCTATAGAGGGCATGTTGCTCTGCTCTCCCACAGTGGCCAGACGTCTTGGATAACCCCCACACTTCACCCCACTGCACGTGGCGTGCCAGTCGCCTAACTGCGGCATTGCTCATAGTTCATAGTTCATTTATTAGGTATAGCCCTGTGAGCCATTCGGCTCTTGAATCGGGTGCAACCGCAACAAACAAAAAACATGAACAAGAAAACATCTTAAAGTGATTATGTGACTGTGCAAACAGAAAATACAGGAAAAAAATAAAAAAATATTCCTGAAATAGTACCGTACACCAACGCTGTGTGCAAAAATCCCAGTGGGATGCAAGTCAAATAACAACAACCACGAGACAACTAAGCTCATTTTACTGCCGCAATTAGAACGTCATGCCGCGCCCGGAGGACCCAAGCGAAGACTTCTGATTTGCTGACCCGTTATACCACCGCCGCGTGCCCCCTATGGTATGCGTTCACGAGTAAATGAAGTCATTGCGCGCCGATGATTGACGTCAAACCTTTCCGATTCAAATGGAGAGTGAGATCTGTAAACGAAGGGCACGCGTGTCGTCGTCATCTGCGGAGACAGCTGATTGAAAGGCGTCGTGGGAAGACGAAGAGCAAGGTGGGGCACCCACGCGCACCCATGCATGCCTTCGCGCGCGCACTCACACACCTTGCGCCCGGCGGCGTTGTTGTGCAGGTTCATGAGCGTGCGCGCATTCTGCTTGACCTCGCGCGCGTCCACGAAGAGGCGAGAGAACTCGAGGCCGTAGCTAAGGTCGGCCGAGCAGCCATCCCAGTGCCAGCCCCCTTGCGCGTTGTAGAAGCACCCCTGCTTGGCGCGGTCGCAGCCGCACTCGCTCCAGTCGCCCTGGCTGCACGCCACCGTGATGGCGTACACCACGGCGGCCGAGATCACCGCGTGCATGAAGGCCGCTTCTCGGCTACCTGCTCGTGTCAGGGAGCACAGGCACGAGGGGGGGGTTGTTGGGAGGGGGGCGGTGTGAGCAGCAGGGTGGTGGAGCAGGGACACGTGGGAGGTGGGGGGGGGGAGACGCGGGGTCGAAATTATGGGCAGATGGGATTTGGATGGGAGGCACACACACAGACACACACACAAAGCCACCCGGCGCTCCGCTCGTTGTTGTGAGCGTCGCTCCTCCGCCCTCCGTTGTTGATGGAGGGCGACTGCCTCCAACTGCCCAGTAGCATTCTTCACGAGCCTCCTCCACAGAGGCCGATCTTGACACCGCTGGTACCAGTCATCGGCATGTCCACTCAGCTCCACGTCCTCCTGTACCACATCACTCCATCTCTTCTCTAGCCCGTGCCGCGCCCGTTTAGCCCCCTCGATCCGGCCGAACAAAAGCTGTTTAGGCTGGGCATGCGGGCTACATGACCCAGCCAACGCAGCCTTGCCTGCTGGAGGAGCTCACCAATGGGACCTTGCTCAGATTTTTTAAGGATTTGTGAGCTCCTCACACAATCCAGCCTGGTTAAACCCAGGATGGATCGTAGGCAGGCTAGCCTAAATGTTTCTAACCGGCAAAGATGTTCCATTAGGGGGGTCCACGTTTCGCAAGCGTAGAGAAGGGAGGGAATGACCGTGGCTGAGAAAACCTGATGCTTAGTGCGGAGCGACAGACCAGGTAGCTTCCACACAGCGTTATAACCGATGAAAAGATATTGCCGCTCGACTGATTCGGAGTGAGACCTCTGCTGTTAAACTGGAGCCGGTCATATGCACACTGCCCAGGTATGGGAAACTCTCCACTCTCTCCACAACTGCCCCATCACCGGTTGGGAGTTGTGGGGGTGGAGTGTTCGATGGTACAAAATACCCAGGCAGGTGCTTAGTTTTGGTGGGGCTGATGGTAAGACCTCATCTCTTAGTGGCACGCTCCAGTCTCAGCAGCAGCGTCTCCAACTCCTCCTCTAAACGAGCAGCTATTACCAAATCATCGACATACATAACGTGGTTGAGCAATATGGAGCCATCCCTTGACCGCACTCGGGCATCGATCAGCCTCCCATTATATCTGTACCAAATGGAGATTCCCCCGGTACAGCTATTGAAGGCTTCATGAACAACGTGGTCAAAATAGATGTAAAATAATGTGAAGCCAGAGGACATCCCTGCCGTACCCCAGGGTGTACAGGGAATGGCTCTGACTCCTGGCCACGTAGTTTTACCCGGGCCTGCTCACCATCATGAAGGTCCTTAATGATCGTGAGCAGAGGGTCAGGGACGCCAAAAGCACGAACAACCCAGAGCCCAGGCCTACTGATGGTATCATAGGCCTTGACCAGGTCAATAAAGCAGAGATGTAGGTCTTGTTGGAATTCCCTAAACCTCTGCTGTAGCAGATGGACAGAAAATATGGCATCTGTGCAGGACCGCCCTTTCCTGAAACCTCTCCTCAGCATGCCTGGCAAGGCGATGTTGATTAATCCTTGCCAGGACCTTTACCGGCACACTGAGGAGTGAGATGCCCCTGTAGTTATTACAGTCTGTGCGGTCCCCCTTCTTAAAGAGGGGGACCACCAGGGGATCCTTCCAATCCTGCGGAACCGGTCCAGTGGTCCAGACTGTTGTCATGATGTCATATAGGGCAGTCTGTGCACAAACGCCACCCTCCCTCAGCATTTCACTTGGGAGATCATCTCTGCCCGGTGCCTTCCTGGTCTCAGACTCCGGATCGCCTTCAGATGGCACCTCAGCCAGCCACTCAAAGGGGGTGACTTCTTCAAATATTTGAGGCACCGCAGCCTCAGCAAGGTCATCCCCACTTTCTGCCACGATGTTTTCCTGGCTGAGGGATTTGCCTTCCCGCAGGACCTCACAGAAATGCTCAGCAAATCTGTAAACCTGTTATGTTAATAGGTGTGGCGCTGCAGGTTACTTTTTTGATGGAGTTAAATAGAGATTTGTGATCGTGGGCTACTGAGGCAGACTCCATCTCCTCAGCAACCCGCGACCACCACCCATCCTTGCAGCGCCTCACGGCTCTCTGAACCTCCGAGCGAAGGCTGCGGTAAGCCTCCTCATTCTCTGACGTGGGATTCTGTAGCCGATGACAGTGGGCCTGTCGCTTTTTGTCAACTATCCTGAACGCCTCTTCTGTCAGCCAGGGTCTCTGGGGAGGTCTGGACCGCCTACTCAAAGCAGCCAATGCAGCTGCATGAGTCACAGTCCTAAACCTCATCCATTTACCCTCGACATCAGGAGGAGTGGGGGACAATGCCAACCCCAGCCGCAAGCGATGATGAAATTCTCGCTTGCAACTTTCATCAGATAACTGAGACCAGGCCACTTTAGATTGGAATGGGGTCCTGGGTGTACACCCACCACCGGAGTTGAAGAATGGCAGGCGCATCTCACAGATGACAAGTCGATGGTCAGAGGGCAGATGAGCTCCACGGTAGGTCCTGGTGTCAAGGACATGGGCTCGCATCCACTGGTCCGTCACTATGTAGTCCAGCAGATGTGCTTGCTTTGACCCGGCATGCATCCATGATGTTGTGTGGATGCGCCGATGCTGGAACAGCGTGTTGGTAATTACAAGCCCATGGGCTGCACAAAAATCTAGCAGCCTCCTACCGTTGTTTTTGAGCTGATCTGGCCCATGCTCTCCAATCACTCCAGACCAGGTGCCAGCATCATGACTAACTCGGGCATTGAAGTCACCCAACAAGATGACTATCCCGAGGGGCCACTTTAGCCAGCACCTGTGACAGATCATAGAAGGCATCTGACTCATCGGCTTTGCCTGCATCCCTCCACGGATGTTCGTCTTCGGTGGGGGAATAAGTAACCACGACCACCACTCCTCGCCACGCTCCCACACCCTCTTCATTCTTTTGTTCAAAAGAAGAGCCACTCTCTGTTGTTTGGCAGTCTGCTGCCCCGAGTAGAGGACTGTCCACCCCTCATGGTGGCAGGAGCCAGAACCGGTCCACCGGACCTCCTGAATGCTACAGAGATCCAGGCGGTACCGGTCGAATAGAGGAGTGGCAGCCTCTCCTCGCAGTGAGCGTTCGAACATTCCACGTGGCCACACGAAGTGGCTTTTCATTGTTTCTGGAGGAGCCCCGAGGGTAGAGATTCAATCTCCTGGCTCCGCCAATTGGGGTTTGGCCAAGAGACGTCATAGACGCCTGTCCCCCATGGGGCTTCCGGCACAAGCTTATTAGTTACATTTATAATTCGTGGTTTTGAGCTAAATTTTTGAAGGTGGAGGGTTACCAGCCCCTCGCACCCGTCCAGAGACCCTGTTTAGCCCCTGTGGTGGTCACAGACGCCATGAGGGGAGGGATGTTGTATATGCTGGGTCTTGAAATTTTAGTGAAAATAATAATAATTAAAGGAAATGTGGAAATATGCGTAACTGTCCGAAGTTATGTTAATTGATGTAATTATGCGCTAAATTGTGCACATAATTAAATTGTATTAATGTATGCGAATGTGCAGTGTGTTCTTTTATGGAGATGGAGATGATAAAGTAGAGGCAACATGGTGTGTTTATTTATATATCGGTCTCCAGTCTTCAGCTGCAACTGCCTCTAACCTCTCCATAGGCCCTCCTTATATACAGTTTATATCCGAGGAGCGGGGCTCTGTGGGATCGTAGAACACCCCACAGCCCCCACCCGTTGGGAGGGGTCTGCGGGGGATCATAGAATACCCTGCAGCCCCCTCACCCCCCAGGCTAGGAATCATAACGGTTTCTCCCGCCATTTTAGTTGTACCGCCCCTGATGGGCACTGTCCGCCATTGCAGATATTTGCAGCCCATTTACGGCGCTACATCACCCCCCCCTCCCCAACGTAGCATTCAGCCGTCTCAGCTGTCAAATACAATGACAATAATTAAACAAAACTTGTACAACAATTGCGAGTGCGTGTGCCTGGGCATGAGGCGATCCGTGTGGCCGTAGCAGTTTTCCGTGGCGCCGTTACTGCGGAGGGGTAAGCACACGGCTATACTGAAAGTTAGGCTTGGCAACCGCACGACTCGGCTCATCGGACAATTCACGTTCTCGGCCCCTTTGTGTAGTTTGAGTATCAAGAAATGGTAAAAAGGGTTTTAAGCGCAACGGGTGCACAAACCAGCATCGTTTACTATGGCGGACTTTTACACATTGTGGCCGAACGACCTTCACAACATCTACGGGCCCCCTCCAAGGTTTTAAAAGTTTGGGTGACGTTGACAATGGTACTTGAGGACAGTGAATCCATGCCCTGTCACCCTCGGACCATGTATGCGAGGAAACTTTGAGATTCCGCAGGCGCTCATTGGCCAATTGACGGGCCTCCGAATTATGTTTTGCCGCCACTCTTGCTTCCATAAACTTGCGGATATTTAACCGAATGTGCTCGGAAAGTTTGAATTTAGGGAACTCTGAGCGACGCGTAATTGAATATCCACCGGGGGGTTTGCCTCCCTGCCATACATTAAATAGAATGGCATGAGGAGCCAATCGATAGGTGGCCAGAACCCCGGGGATATGAAGATCCCAATCAATCTGTGAGTCGGATACTTGGTGGCTCAGCATGGCAGTGAGAGTCCTATTAAATCGCTCCACCATGCCATCCATTTAAGGGTGATAAGGGGAGGTGCGTACCTGGTGTGTGCCCAACAAGTCGCAGACCTCACCCAGCAGTTTGGACGAAAAATAATTTCCCTGATCGGTCAGCAGCCGCTCTGGAGCACCCTTATCCAGGACATAGCCGTGGAGGAAGGCCTCTGTGATGGCTGCCGCCGACTGGTTGGGTAGTGGCCAAGCCATAGGCCAGCGGGTAAAATATTCAACCCCAACCAGGAGGTACTTGTTACCCCTAGGAGTAACAGAGAAAGGCCCCAAAATGTCGAGCGCAACTAGTTTGTTCACTCTGGATACCTTAATAGGTTGCAATGGAAGACACGACGGATTAGAGGCAGGCTTTCA